CTAACAAAACTTGAAAAGAAATTAATAATGATAATAATAATATAAGTGGTAAAAATAATATCTAAAAGTAATTAAGTGTTAATAATAATAGTAAGAATATTAACGTAAGAATTATAACATAGAACAAATCGTAAAAATTAATAACTTTAGTCTAGGAATAAATTTAGAATTGTCAGGAAAGATAAGCGACCTCTGGTGAAATTAACTCTTTATCGATTTAAATATTCTTAATATATTACAACAATTTCATTCCGTGCATCGCACGGGTGAAAATTACTAGTAGTAGTAGTAGTAGTAGTAGTAATAATAATAATAATAATAATAATAATAATAATAATAATAATAATAATAATAATAATAATAATAAATACTCTCCTACCCATAATACAGTTCTACTTTTTATTTTATAAAATCTCCAAATAATAATATTGATTGAAATTACACTATAAATACTTTTCTAACCGTAATACAATTGTACATGAAACATGCGTCCTTATTTCTGCAAAGTATAATATTAAAATTGTAATAATTTAGAAAAAAATTACAGTATAAATACTTTCCTATCCGTAATACAATTTTACTTATTAGTTTACAGAATCTCCAAATAATAATATTGATTGAAATTACACAATAAATATTTTCCTAACCTTAATACAATTGTACATGAAATATGCAACAATATTTCTACAAATAATAATATTGAAATTGCAATAATTTAGATTAAAATTACAATATAAATATTTCCCCATCCGTAATATAATTCTACCTGCATATTATTTTACATAATCTCCAAATAATAATATTGATTGAAATTACACTATAAATACTTTCATAATCTTAATACAATTGTACATGAACCATGCATCCTAATTTTTACAAATAATAATATTAAAATTGCACTATAAATACTCCCTTAATCGTGAACAATTCTTTCATCGATTATTTTCTGTTCTTCTTTGGTATTTCTCCTATTTTTCTTTATTGTTGACTAATGGAGTCTGTTATCAACACTTCACAGGACAATGTTGAACAATTTAGTTCTCATTAAACATGTTTCTTCCTCTTGCAATAATATTTTTCCACCTTGCTTTTCTTAATAGTTAGTTTCATCTAGGGCATAACACCACTGGAAGCTACATCTTCGTCAATTCCAGAAGTCATTTTGGTTGATGAAAGAACTCCCAGCAGTAGTCTTTAAAGAGACCAAACGTGGAATGTTCATTGTCTTCAAAGGGTCTGAAGAATCCTAAGATCGAACCCAATACATGAGAACCCTGGCCGATTGGTTTTTGATTGACGACAAACAATGTATATTTATGTTCTAGACAATTAAATTTCCTATTTTCACACCATTAGACTGTGATTTTGTTTTTCTTTGTTTAAGTGGACTAAATGCTTAACATATGGTTTATTCTGTTATCCTTTAAATTGCTTTAAATTTTGGCATTGTTGTTAGCTTATATACGTAAGGAAACAGTTTATTTCGTCACTCTTCTTGATTTTCACTGCCTATTTCTGTGTTATAAATCTACATGTTAAGTAACAATATAGTTGACAAGCCAGAAAAACATTACACGTGCATGTCCAGTAAAACAATATAGATACAAAAACGTCAATCTTCATACATGAGATTAAATATTTAGTATAAATAAATGAATATATAAATTTAAGCAAACTAACAAACACTCCAGTTTTAAAATTACAATACATGCATATACTTTCTATCCGTGATGCAATTCTACTTATTATTTTACAGAATTTTCAAATAATAATATTGATTGAAATTAAATTATAAATACTTTCCTAACCTTAATACATTTGTAAATGAAAAATGCATCCTTATTTCTGCAAATAATAATATTGAAATGACAGTACATATACTATTCTATCCATAATACAATACAATTATACTTATTATTTTACAGAATCTCCAAATAATAATATTGATTGAAATTACATTATAAATACTATCCTAACTTTAATACAATTGTACATGAAACATGCATCTTTATTTCTGCAAATAATAATATTGAAATTGTAGTAAATATACTTTCTATCAGTAATACAATTCTACTTATTATTTTACATAATCTCCAAATAATACTATTGATTGAAATTGCACTATAAATACTTTTCTAACCTTAATACATGAGTTCTTTCTAACCTTAATACAATTGTACATGAAACATGCATCTTTATCTATCTATACTGTCATAGGGGTGAAGTTTGGGAAGAATGACCGGGGATCGATCCCAAGTCTCACCAGAGGCAGTGTGGGAATAACCTCTCAAAGTGAGGGGGCTCCCTGTGTGCAGTAAGCCTCTGTGGTTCAGTTGAGTTACCATGATTTACATCCTCTCAGATACTCTGTTGGGCCGGGGTGGGCTTGGTGTTGGGATTCAACATTTTGGGAAGAACTATAAAAATATAATAATTATTATATATGGTAAATAGTAGTTCAATAAATGTGACAACTTTTATATATATTTTTAATTTTTTTTTTTTTTTTTTTTTGGTGAAGAAAGAGAGGCTAAGCCTCAAAATTATCTGATTCTGCGGTTGAGCGCTCCCCAGCATCACGGGCTAGATGAACTGTCAATCCTTCCATAGCATCCGAAAAGACCCAGGTCCCCCAGTCTTTCTCCTGTGCAAGATTGGATTTTTTTTTTAATACTTAAGGTATAAAAGTATAATTGAACAATATTAGTATATTTATCTAATAATTAATATGATAATTAATGAATTAATTACACATACATAAGTATAATAAGTTAATAATTATTATGGTAATTAAATTAATAATTATTATGGTAATTAAGCTAATAATTATCATATAGTATAATTACAATTAAACATGGGTCATTGAATTATTACAATAATTATATATATATATATATATATATATATATATATATATATATATATATATATATATATTTTATAAGGAAAATGACACTTTTTCCCCTGAATTATATGTTAATAGCATATTTTTCCCTTGAATTATTTATGTAAGCACATTAGTCCGCTAAATTAGCTGATTGTAGAAATGTGTTTGATAAATTAGCTGTTAGCTGATAGCTGTTTGATATAATTTCTTTTCTAAAAAAACTAATTAAAAAAGCTACTTTGAGTAGTTTTTTTTTTTTTTTTTTTTTTTTTTTAAATTTTAGCATTTTGGAGTTACAAAAATTTAATTAACCAAACATTTGTATTGATTTTTTAACCAAGTCAAAGAACTAACGGTGGTCAAATAAACCAAAATTGATATATAGGCTAACTATAGGGTGTTGCTATTGTACCACCCTCTAGTTAAAATTAGGTATAAAGTATATTGAAATTGTAAAAATTACAAAAAATTCAACAATCTATAGGTGGTGTAAATAGTCATAGGGCTATTCATATTACTATTTGCAGCACCTTGGTCAAACGTCATTTACGAGGTGTAATTAATAATTTTTTAATTTAAAATTTAATTAATTAAAATATTAAAAAAAGAAAAAATAAAAAAAATAAAAAAACAAGAACACGTCACCTTCTCTGGTGAGAAGGCGAGGGGCTGCCTTCTCATCGGAGAAGGTAACCTGGGATAGCCCCTCGCCTTCTCGGGTTTTAGTTTTTTTTTTTAATTAATATTTTGATTGTTAAATAAAATAAATTATAAATATTAATATTTGACTACATTTAATGAAGGTGGTATAAATAATATTTTTCTATTTGTAACACCTATAAAACTAGTACACCTATTAAATAGGTGATGTAAATAACAAATAAAGTGGTGTAAATTGAATTTCCTTTTACGAAACAGGACCTTCATAAAAGACAATTAAAACAATTTATAATTCCAACGCTTCCAACCAACATATGTACTGTTTGTCTGCGGGTGTAATTCTCATTTCTCAATTTCTCATCGTTTCTTTTGAGGTTTGACAAAGTCATCATCTCATTTGGTGTGTTTCTCAAGATTCTACCATTTGAAGAAGAGTATTGCTATTTATCCTTAAAAAAAATTTCCATATTATTTTCTCTCTTGATATTATTTAATTGATTACTTTAATTTTTATTTTTTTATTAATGAAGTATTTGGTTAAATGTAATTTGAATTTCTTTCCTACTTTATTCTAAGACAAGACAAATTACCGTGTTCGGTCGAAGAGAAATTGAAATTTCACAGAATTACAATTTTTTTATTTTATTGAATTACAATTCATAGGTATCCTTATAAATTACAATTCAATGGTTATGAGAAAGGTAAAAAAGGAAGAAATAACAAAACTATCATGGGTTATTATTATTATTATTATTATTACACAAGAACATTTTAATCTTTATATCACTTCTTTTTTTCTCATTTTCAATAATTCGATTCCATCATACCAAATAATGTAATTTGAATTTCCATTTTATTCTCAACTCATTTTTTTCCAATCAAATTACAATTCTTTTTCTCTCTAATTCTTTCTTTTCAACTAAACACCTGGTAAAAGTTAGTGGGGTAGCCAATTATGATGCCCAATAATTACATATCATGCTATGGAGGGGATTTAAGAGTGGGAAAATTAGGAAGGATAAGAAGAGTTTTTTTTTTTTTTTTTAAAAAAAAATTGAAGGGCAAAACCGTCATACCAGCACACAAATTAGGTAAGTTTCCAATTTAAATTCTTCAAGTTCGCAGTCTTCGCACTTACGTATCCAACATGAAACTAAACAAATAATGCTGAAAATTATAAATAAATAAAATATATATAAATAGACAGCCCACTACTTTGAACGCAAAGAAGAAGAAGAACATTCATTGCCTCTTCACACACACAATTTCTGACTCCAACACCCAACGCGGATTCATCATCGTATTTCGCGTCTCCTCCCTTCTATCTCTCCACCATTTTCTCCCACTTCAAGCAATCCCACAAGCCTCAAAAGCAAGAAAAATCTCGATTTACAGCAGAAAGCTCCAGTCTTTAAAATCAAGAATCCCTGTTTTGTTCATCTTCTTCATAAAGATGGCCGTGTCAAAGAAGAAGCAACAATCCTACATTTCAGTGGCGTCGGATATGGTCAACGCTCCACTCCAAGCCCTGGTGCTTCTCTCCCCCAAGAAGAGGCAGAGCCCCTCCTCCTCATTTGCTACAAAGCTGAGATTTTTGCTGAGAAATCCCAGGTTTTGGGTTTTGTTTCTGCTCCTATTTGGTCTCTTTGGAACTCTAAAGCTGTGGTTCAATTTCGACACCTTGTTGCCTTTCTCCCCATACCCGTGTTTGGGTCTCCAAGAAAAGGCCGATTTTTCCAATGGGTATATGGGTTCTGCGCTGGGGAGTGGTGGGGATGGGGAAGAGGTGAACGAGAAGAGCGAGTTTTGGAAGCAGCCAGATGGGCTGGGGTATAGGGCGTGTTTGGATTTCAGTGAGCAGTATAGGAAAGATAGTGGGAATATTGTGAAAGAGAGGAGCAAGTATCTGATGGTGGTGGTTTCTGGTGGAATGAATCAACAGAGGAATCAGATTGTGGATGCTGTGGTGATTGCAAGGATTCTTGGTGCTACTCTGGTTGTTCCCATCTTGCAAGTTAATGTCATTTGGGGTGATGAAAGGTCTGTCATTTCCCTTCACTTTAATTTCCACCTCTAAAGCTTCAATCTTTATTCTCATTCAATCTGAATAGAACCTAAATTTTTGTTCTTGGTAATTCTTCTTTAGCTAGCCCTTTCTATGAGTGTTTGGATCAAGAGCTATAGCTAGTAGCGAAGACACAACTTTATTTTATTATAGACCGCCAACACATCTTCAAGACGTTGGGTGTTGGACTTCTTTTTAAGCAGCCTTTTACCGACCTCTGTCCAACAATCCCTTAGTCACGTGCTAGACTTGGCCTTTACGGGCCCTCTGTCCAACATGGGCAAACTTGATTATTGGGAAGAATGTAATTATTCAGTTTAGTAGATGACTTGTGTGAAGATTTTGATTATGGTTTCTTGAGAGAGGAGATTAAGGTTTGGTTGTGTTTGAGTTTGCAGTGAATTTTCGGATATATTTGACTTGGATCACTTCAAGAAAGCTCTGGAGAATGATGTGAGAGTCATTTCTTCGCTTCCATCAACACATGTAATGACCAGACCAGTGGAAGAGAAACGGACTCCACTCCATGCTTCCCCTGAATGGATTCGCTCACATTATTCCAAACGGGTAATAACAACTTATATTGTTCATATGACTGTGTGTTCCTTAAAACTATGGTCTTTTTGTGTTTAGTGAATAGCTATTTCAGTGTGTCCAAATGGCATGGATATCGTTTTATTTATACGGTTTCGTTTGTTTGCAGCTTAGGAGGGAGGGTGTGCTTCTACTGCGCGGTCTGGATTCGAGGCTCTCCAAGGACCTTCCTTCTGATCTTCAAAAGCTTCGATGCAAGGTAATTTTATTTTAGTTATCTTGCTTTTATCAGTTGATCTTCAAAAGTTACCCGTAGTATCTATACTTGAAGTGTTCATCTTCTCATTGGAAATTCGGGAAAACTTGTAGGTGGCTTTCCATGCCTTGAGATTTGCCCCGTCTATCTTAGAATTGGGCAACAAGCTTACGGAGAGGATGAGGAGCAAGGGGCCGTATCTTGCCCTCCATCTGCGGATGGAGAAGGATGTGTGGGTAAGGACGGGGTGCCTTCCGGGTTTAAGTCGGGAGTATGATGAGATGATAAACAAAGAGAGGAAGCTGAGACCCGAGCTGTTAACATCGCGATCAAACATGACCTACCATGAAAGAAAGCTAGCTGGTTTCTGCCCCTTAAATGCATTGGAGGTCACTCGGTATGCTTTCTCTTTAAATATATTGGCCCTGTTTGGTAAAATGGCTGTTAGCTGATAGTTGTTAACTGTTAGCTGATTGTGTTAATTAGAGGGTATAAATAGTTGATAACATTAGCTGATTGTAGAAAAGTGTTTGGTAAATTAGCTATTAGCTGATATCTGTTTGGTATAATTTCTTTTCTCAAAAGCTAATTGAAAAAGTTGCTTGGAGTAGCTTTTTGAATTTTAGCCTTTTGGAGTTGCAAAAAGCTAATTAACCAAACATTTATATTGATATTTTAACTAAATCAAACAATTAATAGTGGTCAAATAAGTAAAAATTGGCCTATAGGCCAATTTTTTACCAAACATGGCCATTATTTCTACTTCATTGATTCCTCGTATTACCATATCATTTATTACTATCATAATCTCGAACCAGTAGCTTGGATAATTGTGAAGTGTGGTTCATAATAAATGAATTAATAAATATGATTATAGCTTACCACCTCCTACCTCTGCAAGGTTCATAAAAGATCCTTAATACCTAGAAAAATTAATCTTAAATGCATTGGAGGTCACTTGGTAGTGTTATGGAGGAGTGACGTTTTTTGTATATTGTGTTTAGGTTGCTTAAAGCTTTGGGAGCTCCCAAGAGTGCTAGGATCTATTGGGCGGGAGGGATTCCATTGGGCGGGAAAGAAGCTCTGCAGCCATTGATCAAAGAATTCCCGCATTTCTACAACAAGGAAGACCTCGCCTTGCCAGGGGAGCTCGAGGCGTTTGCAAAGAAAGCGTCCATTATGGCTGCTATCGACTATATCGTTTCTGAGAACAGCGATGTCTTCATGCCATCGCACGGTGGGAACATGGGCCACGCTCTTCAGGGACACAGGGCATATGCAGGCCATAAAAAGACTATAACTCCGAACAAAAGACAGATGATCCCGCACTTCATGAACGCATCGCTCTCTGAATCGGACTTCAACAGGATCATATCGTACTTGCATCGAGATTCCTTGGGTCAGCCAGAGCTCAGGAAACCGGGAAGGGATATCACCAAGTATCCTGTACCCGATTGTATGTGCAACAGCAACACAGGTCATTCTTCTGTCTAGAAATCTCATTCAACTTCTAAATCCCGCCCGTTAGCCCCTATGAATTAGCAATCTCGAGATTTCAAGCACACATAAACCCGATTGGAATGAGCATGGGGATAGACACGATTATTTGGCAGAGGTTATAATCTGTAGGAAACACAGGCCTAATATGGTTTCATTTTTTGGTTATTTTCTTCAATTCTTTGTATATGTAGCCCTTAGAAGGAGTAGAGAAGGCAAAATATGATCATTGTATAGGAAATTAAATTAAATGCCGACTTTATTATTATTCAATTCATTCTTTATACTTGTATCAGTTGTATGTAATCAATTAGCAATAGCAGATTTATATATGTGAATAATAGTATGAATTTTGAAGGTCCTTTTACATGCATTGTCTCAATCTGCAATCATTCAATTCATTAGAACATTAATAATTCAACATTATTGGAAAGTAAACAAATATAGCAGAATTGAAGAGATTGGAAGTCTTAAGAAGTTTTATTTGAGAAGGAATTTCTTGAACCAAAGAGCAGAATGCTTGGGATATCTCTTGAGGTTGTCCTTATAGTTTATGTAGTTGATCCCAAACCTTTGGGTGTATCCTGATATCCATTCAAAATTATCCAAAAATGACCATGCAAAGAACCCCTTCACATTTGCTCCATCCCTGTAATATCAAAGGGGAAAAAATTTACTTAAAAGTAAATTTATAATTATAAAATTGACTCCGTATTTTTTTCATTAAAACGTTCAACCATTGATGAATACATGTAATAGCCAAATGGTTCAGTGATGCCTACTTGTAAAGATATGAACTTACTTAAGAGCTGCCTTTATGGCCAAGAGATGGCTGTGGTAGAAATGGACCCTGAGAGTGTCATTAACCCCTTGTGGAACTTCAGTGATATTGGCATCACTCATACCTAAAAATATTCCCAAAAAAATTTATTGATTGAAACAAAATACGGAGTAATAAATTTAATATAGATTTAAATTATTGAAATAAATCTGAAATGAAGTATGAGTTTACCATTTTAAGAGCAACATTGTTCTTACCGTTCTCTGTAATGTAAATCGCTGAATTGTTATAATTTTTCTTAACGTAAAGGATCAACTTTGTAAGACCTTTAGGAACAATATTGAGTCCACTTCCCGTCTGCACAATATACCATACAAATGTTAAAATAGTTTTTTTTTTTTTTACTAGAATTTTTAAATCTAATGAGACTTTATCTACTAATACATAATAAATTTTAAAAATGGCCAAATAGGCTATTGAATTTACACGAATATGCAATTAGGCTCATAAATTTTACACGAAAATGAAACTAGACTCATGAACTTTAAAACAGCGCAATAAAACACTTGAACTTGTCATTTTGACAATTTCGACGACTAAAAAATTCCAGCGACTGTTTGACTTGAAAAAGAAATTTCGACACGTACGTTCGCCAGTCACCTTCTCGAAGAGAAGATGACCAGACAGGTCTCCTTCTCCACCGGAGAAGATCATTGGCTGATCATCTTCTCCGGTGGAGAAGTCCATCGACAATTGTTTTTTTTTTTTTTTTCCTTTTAACAGATAGTGAACAATGGCCAGCGACGATGATCAATGGTGATAATATATATAGACATGCGATTATAACAAATAAGTTTTATTCCATTAGATTTTAATTAAATATTACAATAATTATATTTAGTAATTTATCATATACAAAATTATTTTAATATAATATAAATTCTATAACTATATATATTTTTTTAAAATTATATACTATTATATTAAAAAAACATTTAAACTTTGAGTATTAATATTGAACATATATTTTTATGCATTGCGCATATCCAATACAACTATAAATAAATAAGAGTAAATACCCAAAATGGTCCCTCGACTATAGCTAAATTCACAAATTGGTCCTTGACTTTCAATTTTAACCAATTAAGTCCTTAACTTTGTAATTTTAACACGATTTGGTTCTCCGTCTATTTGACCATTTGTTGACTGTAATTTTTGAGGATATATATGTAATTTCATGGTCCATCGTCGATTTTTTAAGGTTCCGGTTGCATTTTCAGACCGCACTGTTACATTTGAATCCACCGCCGAAAGCAATCTACCAAATCCTGTCGCCTTTCTTCATCCTCCCTTTGAATTCAATGTAGTTGAGTTCGTACCAGAGTGAAGAAGACAACGTGTTTCCGAACCGGTGCAACGTCATCCTGGAGGCCTCCATGTGCTCTGGTGAGAGCTGCGGGTTCTTCTGGAGATCGTCGATGAAGGCGCGGGCGCGGGCGTTAATGCAGAAGTGTTCGAAGGACCAAATCATGTTAAAATTGCAAAATTAAGGACTTAATTGGTTAAAATTAAAAGTCAAAGACCAATTTGTGAATTTAGCTATAGTTGAGGGACCATTTTGAGTATTTACTCAATAAATAATTGCCATACTATTAGACAAGTACGTACCGGTGCACCAATGAGTTTTCCATTCCTCTCATCTGCAAAAGGACAAATTAAAATAAAAATACAACATAAAATAAAGAATTTATTTTTTAGAACATGACTAATAGTGGTGTTTTTTTTTTTTTTTTTTTTTTTTTTTTTAAGAAAAAGAGAGAGTAAGGTGATTGAAGAGAGCAGAGGGAGGGGTTCTTGTGCAAGAATTCAATTGTTCAGAGAAAAAAAGAAAGAAATTCATGTAGTTAAGAATTATGCAAGATGCTTAACAGGTTCACACGCCCGTTGAGTAATTAGAGTGGTTGTTAAACTAACCATCACTTTTATTTATTTTTTAATTATTATTATTAATTTTAATTTTTAATTTCATTAAATAAATTGAAGCTAAGATGCATAGTGCTTACTTGTTAGATTGGCTCTCGAGTCCGTGGAATAACTAAGGTGAACCCTTCTAGGGGAAGGAATGTTGGCTGCATAACGGGAAGTATAATAATTTAATCCCAAGAAATCAAAGGACCCTTTCACCATCTTTGCTTCCTCTGATGTGAATTCTGGCAGCCGACTTCCCACAATTGTGCGCATGCTTTTTGGATACTCACCTCTTGCTAATGGATCCATGAACCTGCATGTTCACCCTCAATTTGCTTAAATTCATACTAGATAATTATTACAAATAAAAAGGGATGCTTGGTAAATAGCTGTTAGTTGATTAGATTAGTGGGTTTGATTAGTTGATATTAGTGATTGTAGAAATATGTTTGGTAAATTAGCTGTTAGTTGATAGCTGATTACATATAAAATAACTTTTTTTATAAAAAATTTGTTTTGAGCAGTTTTTTGAATTTTAGTGTTTTGGAACAATAAGCTGTTACAAAAAGCTAATTAATCAAACGCTTATATTCGTTGTTTAACCAAGTCAAGCATCTAATAGTGTTTAAATAAGTCAAAATTGACTGATAAACTAACTATGTTACTATACAGAGCCAAACAATTTGTCAAATTTTATGATTATGAAAGCGTTTCCTGAAATTAAGCCAACGGTGAATTAAATAGTTATTAATTTTTATTAGACCACATTACCACAATGAGTGGGTCCTAATTAAACATTTAATTACTACCCAGAAATTAGGATTATGAAAATTGTAGTATAGGAATGAATTACCATCCAAACGTGAAGTCAAGTGCTCGTTGAGCTGCTTCTGCATCTGAGGCTGTTTTGGAGTATGGCACGAACCAATGAGATACAAGCACTATTCCTATATCACCTTTCTGTGTCACCTGCACGCCATTATACCAATCAACACAAATTAAACAAGATTTTATCTATTCCAAAATTATTATATATATGGAAAAAAAATTATTTTTTTTAGCACTTCAATTATTTCCTATTAGTTCATGGTGTATCATTTATTTTCTGATTGACGAGAAAAATCTGCAGCCACTACCTGATGTTTGTGCATTAGATAAACCTTGTACAAACAGAAAAATCAATCTAAATTGTTCATAACTGACTAGGTCAAACCAAGAAGCCCAATAAACTGCTCCTACCAAGAATTGAACTAGTAACCTTGCAGTTACCAAGTCAACAGTCTGACCAACTTGGGTTTGGATTTGTCCCAATTTGAGGGGTATATTGTAACCACAAAAAGTGAGAAACTAAAGTAACTAGTAGAGAATAATCAAAAGAATAAAAATGCAATTTTGGGTACATATTGTTGAGCATATAACTATTAATGTGCAATCCAACTATAAGTTTAGGCTTTTAGTTGAGATGGAGCACATGCTTCAATTTGGTATTAGAGCCAGATCTTCCGCACACGTTAAGGGGCATGTTGAACATATAACTATAGCTTAATTAGGCTTTTAGTTGAGAAGGGCACATGCTTCAATTCATATAACATAAACAAAATGGTGTAGTATGTAACAAATTAAAATTTACTTTGTATTTTTGGGTGTATAGTTGAGCTGCAGCAGCATGGGCAAGAAGAAGGTGGTGGGCAACTATATAAGGCTCAGTTGCAGAGTTTCCCCGAGTAGGGCACCCTTCGTCCATCCATGAAGAGCACCGCCCCGGAGCAAACAGGCCTCTGTCATAGCCTGCTGCGGCAAAAGACCGCGGTTCGTTTAAGGTAACCCACACCTTCACTCTATCCCCAAATTCTTTGAAACAAACCTCTGCATAATCCTTAAAATCCTCTCTGCATCCAATTTTATTGCAAGTTAAGTGAGACTATTTTTTTTGCTTATCAAAGAGTGAGGATATATAATTTGCTTACACAATTTTAGGGCTTAGAAAGCCAAGATATTCTTCTTCCAGTGCCTGGGGAAGATCCCAATGAAAGAGGGTGACTACAGGCTTTATACCTGTTCATAATATATAGTATTAGGCTTATAACAATATAATGTCAAATTAATCATTTTCAAAAATCAAAGGAAAACAAATGCAAAAAGAAATATAATATAATGATTCGATGAATTATGCTTGACTAATCGCGAACTTAACTCTATATCAACTTATTCAGCGTTTTCATGTATTTACATGCATACATATATGGAGAAATAAAAATATTAATGAAAGAGTTAACTCTAATATAATTGGTTTAATATGAATTATTCAAATTATAACTCAATATATAATCACTAACCTTTAACTAGCAACTCGTTTATGAGATTGTTATAGAACGTAATACCCTCTTTGTTGATCCCTTTGCTCAACTTCCCATCTACCAGCAAAAAGATGTAATTAAAAAGAAACAAAGAAAGAAAGGTTAAGGTAGTAAATATCATGCGAATAGCTATCAGTGAGGGAATCCTCATTTTTGATTGCTTATATATATATATATATATATATATATATATATATATATATATATATATATATATATATATATATATATATATATATAGAATAAAGTTCAAATGCGGGGTCTTCCCGTGCGGCGGTGCGGCGGAATTCCAGAATACACTAACAGTGTTAACAATATGCACCAACAGTGTAATAAAAACACACCCCAATGAAATGCAATAAAACATCACAAAATACACAACAGACTCAAAAAAATACACCATATAACTCACCACCCCCAATGGTGTATTTCCGAACAGTGTATGGTGTTTTTACTCATACCTAATGGTGTGTGTTTGGTGATGCGGGGCTCTGTTTACTCTGTTTTGTGTGGTGTATTTTCCTAACGTTGATGGTGCATATTTGTTGAACTATTGGTGTTGCCACACCATAAGAAATCGCCGCACCATAAGACACTACAGCACCTGAACTCGCATATATATATATACACAAAGTATGGTCCACACAAATAACAAAAATTAAATTATGTGAATCATTATATTGATTGTCATACATGGTAAAATTCGAGACCATGAGATAGAAAACCTGAAACCATCCAACCCTTCATCTTTCATTAGTTTTATGTCTTCCTGCACAACATATATATACACTATATAAGTCACTGACAGAGCAATTAAATATAATACACTAGTTTTCAATATATATATATATATATATATATATATATATATATATATATATATATATATATAGTACACTAAATAATATCTATGTTTAAATGATGAATAAGGGTGTCTTTGCTTCCACACTCGTGAATTGGAATCGGAATGAGAATCAAATACGAGCTAAGATAATAGTAATGGGTTTAGTAAAAGTATTTTACATGTTTGGTAATAAGTTGTAATTAAAATGATTACTAATATTGATGTTTGATAATATATGATTCTATAATGGGAATAAAGATTTTAAAAATATAAAAATAAAAAATTAAGATAATTGATCATTAACATAATGACACATCCAAAACATCGAATAAACAAAAAAAATCAAAACAAAAATCTAATAGTACTAATCCAAACTTAAAAATCAAATTATCAATAAGTTAGAATGATACTCGATCCCTTTTTAATTAAAGAAAGATATTTTCAATTGAAGAAGTAATCAAATTACATAGTTTTGTTTTACAAAGTTGTCAACCAAACACTATTTTGATTTGCATTCTTGATATGTAAACCTAAAAACCAAAAACACCCTAAATTTATTAATTACAATTTACAAAGTTGTCAACCAAACACTATTTTGATTTGCATTCTTGATATGTAAACTTAAAAACCAAAAACACCCTAAGTTTATTAATTACAACAATTAAGCCAATTAAATCTTAAATATTTACGACTAACAATCAACCTATTCTCAATACCTTGTAACGATGATAGAAATCAACAGCCACATCACCATTTTTGTGGTCTAAAATTCTTTCTGCATAAATATAACACAATGTTTTGGCAAAGTTATATGACACACAATGATATCAAACTAATGAAAAATGAATGGAATGAAAGAGACCGACCAGAATGTTTGTGTGTGTAGGTATCCCATATACTCGGACCTCTTCCACCCACTCTTGCTGCTCCTTCATACTACAATTCCAACATTAACAACTCAAAGAAAATTAAATTATGATACATTGTATTCGATTTACACAAACATTGAGATCTTGAAAAGTTCTCTCCGATATCTTTCTTCAAACCAACGGGTGAACATTAATCATTTAATCACAGGGTCGAAATTTGGCCCACACCCAAGAATTAACTACAAATTACTTTGGTTATCTGGGTATCATATAATTTTTAAAATCAATTGGTGATAAGTAGATGAATATTAACTATGAGTAAATATCACTTTTTGGTCCCTTGACTATCATAGTTGAAGCACTTTTATTCCTTTTTTTTTTTTTTTTTTTTTTTTTTTTTTAAAGTACATGACTTTCTAACTAGTATCAATTTTGATCATTCGGTCCAATTTTCCGGCCACATGTTACCGGAATTTCAACCGGAAAAATAATATGTTATAATTAGAAGGATATTTTGGCCATTTCAAATTTATTTCACTTTCCTCTTTTATTAACCCACTCCATATATCCACAGCCTCCGTTTGTGAGAAATAGAAACGGAGAGATGAGGAAGAAAAGGGAAGAAGAGAAAAAAAAGGAAAATAAAATAAATTTGAAAGGATCAAAATACCCTTCTAATTATAATATATTATTTTTCCGGTTGGAATTTTGGTAATATGTGACCGGAAAATTAGACCGGAGGACCAAAAGTGATACTAGTTAGAAAGTCATGCACCTAATTTGAAAAAATAGAAAATTTGAATTTTGGTCATATGACTATAGTGGCTTTGTTAATTTCAACACTTGACTTTCAGAAGTGTCAATTTAGTACCTTGACTATACAATTTTTATCAATTTTGGTCACTCCGGTTAAATTGCCAGCCAAATTTCGCCGGAAAATTTAACAGTTAAAATAATGAGGGTATTTTAGTCATTTTACATCTCTTCAATCATTTTCCCCATTATTGTAACTGTTAAAATTTTCTGGCGAAATTTGGCCGGCAATTTGACCGGAGTGACCAAAATTGATAAAAATTGCATAGTCAAGGTACTAAATTGACACTTTTGAAAGTCAGGTGCTGAAATTAACAAAGCCCCTATAGTCATATGACCAAAATTGAAATTTTCTCTTTGAAAAAAACAATAGTCAATAACCAAAAGTGCTTCATCTATGATAGTCAAGGGACCAAAAGTGATATTTAATCTATTAACTATTTAATCACAACACCACGTCTCGACTTGAACAGGGGTTGAACTCAGCCGACCCGGTAGAAAAGATTAAAATTAAAAGATAGATAGATGGAGAAGAAAAAGACGAACCTGATAGGCAGAGGAAGATGTTCCAAATATGAAATGAGGAGGAAAAGAGGTGCGGTTAAATGGAAGAGTTGCATCACCTACTACTTTCATCTCATGCCAACCCAACAAGTTGCTCAAAACTATTACTATCATCATCAGGAGATTCACTATGAATGAATCTTTGGCCGCCATGCCCAACTGCTATTAAGCTTTCTAATTCTATTCCCAAAACTTAATCAACAGTCAATATGCCCATACGCACACTTATACTTAGAGAGACTGTTATATATATAAAATCCAATCTTGTTAAGTATTAATTGGAATAAAAATTATGTTGCCAGTATAGATTGCATGAATAGATATACATTTTACCTCTTACGTTTATTTTCAAAATTTACACCTTTATCTTTTTGAAAATTACTCAAATATCTTAACACCTGTAACAAAAATTAAAGAATAGTTATCAATTTAATGCAATACTTTTTCCTTTTTGGTTAACGATTAGAATGGTCATCAATTTTTTCTCAAAAAAAAAAAAAAAAAAAGAATGGTCATCAATTTAATGCATTAATTTTTTCCTTTTACATTAATGACTTCTAATGAGAAAAAATAATCTCCACAATTGATAGTTGTAATAGTATATTTACATTCAAAAGAAGATATTTTTCACTTTAGTCCCATGACGATTTGATCATTTCTACATTAGGTCCCCAACTAATACTTTTTTTTTTTTTTAAATTTTTTTATTTGGTCTCACAACTTTTAATATATTGTCACATTTGATCCTACGACTTTTAAAACATTGTCACATTTAGGTTTTCACCCTATTTTCAGTCACCTGTGATCAAATTTGTATCTCTATGTAGGCGAACATGAGTTCATAATACTCAAGTAGTGACTTATCTTTAAGGACGAAATTGTCATTTTCTATGACATTTTTCAACTAAAAAATTAGTCACTAGTTACAGTAAATTAGATTAGAGGACTATATGTGGTACAGTATTAAAAGACGTGATACAAAATGTGGAAAAATTAATAGTTAGGGACCAAATGTGAATATGATTCAATAGTCGTGGGATTAAAAGTGGAAAAAACTCTTCCAAAGAATCTCAAAAATAATATTGGATGAAACTTTTAGCAAATATGATATATTTATATTCCAAATTTTAGGATATGAAAATACTGGACGTTGATTTTTATTTTTTATTTTTAAATCTAAGATTAAGATGAATGATATCATCCATGATATAATTCATTTGTATGTACTTTTACCTATTGTACAATTGTGTGATATTAAATATAAATCATTACAAAATTTTATTATAGCTATTATGTATCATTTTTAGAAAAGAAAATGTTCAATGGACAAAGACAACTTATGCAGTACAAAACGCTCTAATCTATATAAAAAATATTATTTCAATTATATAAAAAATTCAAACATATTTTTGAAAACGTGCATAAAAAAGGCAAGTGTCAAATAGACTTTCACGGAGCTAAGTGGAGGAATAGCAGAGAACAAGAAGAAGAAAAAGGAACTGATTTCATTAAGTGTACAGAGAGTTCAATACAAGACTTTTATATGAACCAAAAAGAGAGGGAAAGGTAGTTGGCTGAATGAAACAGAATTCAGCAACTGCTAACTGTCATGAAGGCTTGAGATGGTGACAAGTGTCACTGATCCAGCTCATCCTGCTTCTTCTCCTGAAATCCCCCCGCAAGCTGGATTATATAGATTTACTAATCCAAGCTTGGAGATATAATGCTGAAAAGATGTAGGGCAGTGTGTTTTAGTGAAGGAGTCTGCTAGCTGTTTTTCAGAGGATATGTGGAACAACTTGATGAGCCTTTTGTGTAGCTTTTCTCTAACAAAATGACAATCCAGCTCTATATGTTTGGTTCTCTCATGGAACACAGGATTCTCTGCAATTGCCACAGCAGATTTGCTATCACAATATATAGCTACTGCTTCACTGTGATTCACTCCAAATTCTGCCAGCAAGTATGTCAACCATTGTACCTCACAACTTGTAGCTGCTAGTGCCCTATATTCTGCTTCTGAGGAAGATTTAGAGACAGTAGGTTGCTTCTTGGACTTCCAAGAGATTAGAGCATCCCCAAGGAAAATGCAGAAGCCAGTCACAGACCTCCTTGTATCTATACAGGCTCCCCAGTCTGAGTCTGAGTAGGCTTTAAGTTGTAGATCAGATGTGGATGAAAAGAATAAGCCTTGTCCAGGAGCAGCTTTGATATACCTTAGGACTCTGTGAGCTGCTTGTAAGTGTAAGTCTGTGGGTTTGTCAAGAAACTGGGACAACTATTGAGTAGCAAAACTAATATCAGGTCTAGTTATTGTTAAGTAGAGAAGTTTACCAACAATCCTCCTGTATTGGCTGTTATCTTGAAGAGACACTCCTTCATTCTTGCTCAGTTTATGAGAAGGAACTGTGGGACTGAATACAGGCTTTGCATTTGTGAAACCTGTGTCTTTGAGCAGTTCAACTGCATATTTCCTTTGGCATACTACAATACCCTTTTTGTGTCTAGCCACTTCAAGCCCAAGAAAGTATCTCAAAGGACCTAGGTCTTTGAGTAGAAATACTGAGCTTAGCTGCTTCTTGACATCTTGTATGATTTCCAGGCTTTCACCTGCAATGACAATATCATCCACATAGATTAATAAGGCCACCAAGGATCTATTCTTCCCTCTGATGAATAGAGAGCTGTCAGGGACTGCCTGTTTGAACCCCATGTGTTGCAATGCAGTGGTTAACTTTGTATTCCACTGCCTACTAGCTTGCTTCAAGCCATATAGGGACTTGATCAACTTGCATACTTGCCCTTTCCTGCCTCCAGAGAAACCAAGGGGTGGCTGCATGTAAACTTCCTCCTCCAAATCTCCATTTAAGAAGGCATTATTTACATCCATCTGATGTAAATGCCAATTCTTTGCTGCTGCTACTGCTAGGAGGGTTCTGATAGTGGTCATCTTAACAACAGGGCTGAAAGTGTCTAGGTAATCAATGCCAAGAGTTTGATTGTACCCTTTTGCAACTAGTCTAGCTTTGTACCTTTCTATGCTTCCATCAGCTTTGTATTTAATTTTATACACCCATTTACAGCCAATAGCCTTCTTGGAGGGTGGTAGGTCCACCATTTGCCAGGTATTGTTGTTTTCCAGGGCTGTTATCTCTTCTTTCATTGCAGACCTCCAACTATCATACTGAGCAGCTTCATGGTAGTTTTTGGGCTCAGATTGGCATGAGATGTTCATGACAAAAGACTGGAATGATGGAGTCAATCCATTGTAGTCCACTACTTTACACATTGGATGAGGGGAAGTCTGCAGTTTAGAGTTTTGACATACATAGTCATGTAGGTAGCTAGGGACCTGTCTAGTCCTGGTGGATCTTCTGGCATCTTGTTGGACAGCACCAGGGACAACATTAGGTTGCTGGTCAGGAGTTGCACCTTGGGAGTGCTCCATTCTGCCAGGTTGCCAGGACTGCTCACTACTATTACCAGCTGAGTAATCTGAACCATTTTGTGGCTGTTCAGATGTCCCAATCTGTTGAGAGAGAACATACTCATTTTCTTCATTTTCATCTTGATGGTAATGGTCTTGCTGCTGAGTTTGAGGATCACCAAGGTCCTCAGTGGGTGTGGGAGTCATGGATGGCAATATGATCTCATGACTAACCTTTGGTAACTTGGATTGAAAGGGAAACACTAGCTCATGGAACACCACATCCCTGGATATGAACAACTCCTCAGAGGTAAGATCAAAAACTTTATATCCTTTGGTGGTACTTGCATACCCTAGGAATATACACTTCTTGGCCCTAGCATCCAGTTTTGACTTAGGTCCAATAGTAGTTGCATAGGCTAAACAACCAAAAACTCTTAGATGTTGATATAGAGGAGTCTTTTTGAGTAGAACCTGATAGGGAATTTGATTATTGATAGCAGCTGATGGAAGTCTGTTGATCAAATATGCAGCATGTAACACACATTCACCCCAGAACCTGTCAGGTAGATTGGCTTGGAACTTCAAAGCTCTAGCAGTGGCTAACAAATGCCCATGTTTCCTTTCCACTCTCCCATTTTGTTGAGGTGTATATGTGCAAGAGGTTTGGTGTATAATCCCTTTCTGTCTGAATAGATCTACCATATTGAATTCAGGGCCATTGTCAGTTCTTATACACTTTATACTTGTTCCAAATTGATTCTCAACAAGATTGCAGAACTCAATAATGAGATTTCTGACTTCTGACTTAGCTTTCATCAAGAACACCCACACAGCTCTGCTATGATCATCCAAGACTGTTAAGAAATACTTGTGGCCATGAACTGTGTTAACTTTGTAAGGGCCCCATACATCCAAGTGTAATAAATCAAAGCAATTAGATGATAAAGAGGCACTAATCTGGAAGGGAATTCTCTTTTGCTTGGCAAGATGACAACTATCACAAATCAAGTTCTTATTAAGATGAATCATTGGTTCTAGTTCTTTCAAGAACTGTAATTTTGAATGTGAGGCATGCCCCAACCTGGCATGCCAAAGAATACATTTATTTCCAAGGGAAATGGAACTACATACAGAATGTGTAAAACAGGGAAAAACTAAGTAATAGAGTCCATTCATCAGCTTAGCCCTTCCAATCATTTTCCCATGAGAAACATCCTGTATAACACACTGGTCAGAATACATCTTCACAATGTAGTTGGAATCTTTAATGAATGACCCTACTGAAATGAGGTTATAATGAAACTCAGGAATGTAGAGAACATTATGCAACACCAGATCCTTAGACAAGTATACTGTCCCTGTGAAATGAATGGCAGCCTGTTGGCCATTTGGCATGTTAACAAACATGTTATAAGCCCTTTTCTGATTTTTCAACATCTCTAAATCACACACAATGTGGTGTGTCACCACTATCAATGATCCAATCTGTCCTATTTGATTTAACAGCATTGATTATAGGAGACATACCTTCCTTTTGGAAGTCCACTGCCACAGTGTTGGCCAGGGCCTGAGGAGGCTGCTGATAATCAAGTGGTGAATTCATGCCATCCAAATCTGATTTCTTAGCATGCATGAATTCCATGAATCTCTTGAAATCATCTTGGGTAAAAGACTTATTATCTTCAGAGTTGTGCTGTTGTGCTGAGCTAGGTCCTTGAGTTTGATTGACAGACTGGTTTCTAGGCCTAGCTTTCCACCCTGGTGGATACCCATGTTTTTTGTAGCACTTATCATGAGTATGGCCTGTGTAGCCGCAATATGTACACACAGGCTTCTTGTGGTTAACTTTCTTGAATCCTTGTTGATAATTCCCTTCTGATCTGGCTAAGAGGGCACTTCTAGCAGCACTGTTTTCTCCTGCCTGGTACAGTTGGCTTCCAAAACCACTGCTGGCCATATGAAATTGTCTTTCTTGTTGAGCAATCATAGAATATGCTTCATTAACATCAGGTAAAGGTCTCATCAACATAATCTGATTCCTAGCCCCTGTATACTTCTCATGCAATCCGATTAGAAAGATTGAAAGCTTGTCTTTCTCTGCTTGTTCATTTAGCTCATCAATTCTTTTCCCACATTCACATTTTGTGCTGCAAAGGCAGCTTATCTGAGGTCTAAGGATTCCCAGCTCATCCCACAGCAACTTCTGTCTAGTAAAATACTCATTTAAAGAGTCATCATTCTGCTTGGTTTGATAAATCTCACATTTGATTTCAGCAATCCGAAATAAGTCTTGTTGGCTAAATCTTCTTCTCAAGTCATTCCAGATACCATATGCAGTATCAATCCATAGCACACTGCGTGCTATTGTTGGTGAAAGAGTGCGAACAATCCAGGTAGACACTATATTATTGCATCTTTCCCAGGTGAGATATCTGTCCAGATTCTCTGTGGAAGGTTTCTGAATGCTTCCATTAATGAATGGAACCTTGTTCTTACAAGACAAGGCCATAGTCATTGCCCTAGCCCAGGAATGGTAGTTCGCACCATCAAGGGGGGTGGAAACCAATTCTAGGGCTGGATTCTCACTGATATGGAGAAAATAGGGGTTGGATTGCGATTGTGGATCGAAGGTTACCTCGTTGTTGTTCGATCCAGTAGCAGGAGTGGTAGGAGGATGATTTATGTTCGCTGCGTTGGTGTTGCCGATCACCGGAGCAGACGTCCCTCCCGTCGCATTATCAGCAGGGACTGAGCGATTGTTGAGAGAAGGCCAAGTCGTCATTGTTCTTCTGATTGAAGCTCCTAATCGTTCTGCTCTGATACCATTTCACGGAGCTAAGTGGAGGAATAGCAGAGAACAAGAAGAAGAAAAAGGAACTGATTTCATTAAGTGTACAGAGAGTTCAATACAAGACTTTTATATGAACCAAAAAGAGAGGGAAAGGTAGTTGGCTGAATGAAACAGAATTCAGCAACTGCTAACTGTCATGAAGGCTTGAGATGGTGACAAGTGTCACTGATCCAACTCATCCTGCTTCTTCTCCTGAAATAGACCCATCTACTACTGCGAAGTGCTCAATTCCCACCACGAACTAAATTAAGTGTCAAATAGGTCCATTTATCAGTTAAATTTGTTCAATTAGCTTTTTTTACAGGTTACCTATTTATTAATTATTAATAAATAAATAAATAAAATAAAATAAAATAATTAAAAAAAATAAAAGAAAGATAATAGCCACCGGTAAAGCAACAGTTTTGTACCAACACCAAGCTCCAAATCCCTCTCCATGTATCAAAACAAACTTCTTCGTTTTAATGTTCTCCAAGATTTCCAGTGACTGCAGCAGATATTTCTCATTAGTTCAACTATCATGTTTTCTCCTTTTGATTAATTCAGTTCCTCTGCAAATATATTTTAATTGGAGTTCGATTCCCAGATCTAGACCTCAGTTGGGCGGCTGTCTGTGAATGGGCAGCCACCGGCTGTCCTCGCCGGACCGCCGGTGGCTATTATCTTTTTTTTTTTTTTTTTTTTAAATTATTTTATTTATTTATTTATTTATTTATTTATTTATTTATTAATAATTAATAAATAGGTAACCTGTAAAAAAAAAGCTAATTGAACAAATTTAGCTGGTAAATGGGTCTATTTGACACTTAATTTAGTTCGTGGTGGGAATTGAGCACTTCGCAATAGTAGATGGGCCTATTTGACACTTGTGTCGCATAAAAAAATGTATCTTATTATTAAAAGGGTAGGATTAGTATATCCTATATTTAGACAAAAGTTTAAATGAGGCCGCGCCTTTTCGTGCGGTCAGTGCGGCAACACTAATAGTTATGTAAATATGCATCAACAATATTAGGAAATTTACAACAATGAAATGCACAAATACACCAAAAAATGAATAACACACCCAAAAAAATTGCATCATAACTGCCCACCCTCTAATTGTACATTTCCGGACAATGTGTGGTGCTTTTATGTATACTTAATGGAATGTTTATGCGCACCTAATGGTGCATATTTGTGTTGTACGTTTAGAAAACATTGTTGGTGCATATTTACATAACTATTGTCGGCTATACTGACCACACGAGAAGACACAGCCGCATCTGAACTCTACTATATATACAATGGCGGACCTTGTGCGCAGCAAAGGTGCCTCTGTGGTCCTTTTTTCGGAAAGAATTATGAAGAGGATTTAATAACAATAATTATTATTATTAAGGTAAGTAATTATTTTGTTGTTTATTATTATTATTAAGGTAAGTAATTATTTTATTATTATTATTATTATTATTATTATTATTATTATTATTATTATTATTATTATTATTATTTACCGTAATCTAACGTAATAGGAGTACCCGAATTATGGAGAAAGTTTATTAAGAATAATTATTATTATTAAGGTAAGTAATTATTTTGTTAGGCTGTTGGCTCAGCATATTTTATTTGAAAATAATATTTCTGTAATTAATTAATAGGATTGCTAGAATTATGGAGATGATTTAATAAGAATAATAATAACTATTAAGGTAAGTAATTATTTTGTTAGGCTGTTAGCTCAACATATTTTATTCGAAAATAAAATTTCCGTAATCAATTAAGAGAAAGTATTTGATGCACCGTCATTGTATAGGTGCTATACAACGACAGTAAACCAGAACACGCCACCTTATTAAATTGTAAAGTCAACTTTGACTAAACCCTTTTATGCAAATTATAATAATATTAATAGTATAATTATATTTCCATTAATCCACTAATCTAATAGAAGCTAATAAAGTTAGACTTATAACGGAAACTAAATAATGTTGGTCCAATTGTTTGTTTACCCTCTTTTATATCATTTGCTTTTCCTAAATACCCCTCATTTCGTTATTGTAAACTTTAGTAACAAAATATTTCGTTAACTATTTATTATTCTTAACTTACTCATTGATTTCAATAAGGAAGGTCTTAGGTTCGAACTCATCCCAATCACCGTTGACATATTTGTTAAACATATACTATGAATATGTTAGAGTATATTAAAAAATACAATATAAAATTTAACATGAACTTTTTTCAATTAATTAGCCAGACTATATACAAAGCATTCAAAGTTGAGCATCAAAGATTATAAATAAGAAACATTGAAATAACTTATTTGCATTGTTTTATAAACACATCTATGTTAGGTTATTATGGTATCAAAATTTTTGTTAGTATTTTTATAATAGTACAATGATACATTACTTTACAAATATTGTACTATTATTTTTATCAGACAAAATTGTTCGTACATCATTAAAGTTCCACACACACACACACACACATACACACACACATTTCTAATCAGGCCAGAACAATGCTTTAGGTGTGAATGTGTGGTCTATTTTTTGCCATTGATTTTGGGAGATATGATGTGTTGCTTTTACACCATAGGGGCACCGATCGGCTGGCCAACACTACCGTGAAATATTAGGTTAAAAGAGACAAAGTGTTTTGTAGAGAAAAGAGCAGAGTAACGTGATGTCCTTGAAAAATCCGACCCTTTACAAAGCGACCCCGGGGGTATTTATACAAGGAGATAGATCCTCTGTAAGGTAAAGAGGGGAAAAATAACTAAACAAGCTTTGGAATTTGTTATAATTAGCGCGGTAACTGTTGAATAAATTAGTTAGCTTTTGTCATAGTTTTATGGCTTTTATTCACAGTTGTAGCACATGCAAAGGCTCTCCTTCATTGTAGGAATATTTTAGCTTGTTTACGTTAATGTAATGCTTATATAAAAGCTATTTAATAATAATAATGAAGTACAATATTCTTCCAATATATCTTCCTCTGTTATACTGCTTGCTTCTAACAGTGGTATCAGAGCCAAGTTAAATCCTGCGTAAGAGAGTAAACACGAGTGCATGTGAGTTGAGTTTAAACACGAGAGAAAGTGAGGTTAAACACGAGAGATAGTGTTAGCAGTTGCCTGTGATGGTGGATAGCTTCGTTCAGCCTGCAATTCCACGCTTTGATGGTCATTATGATCATTGGAGTATGTTGATGGAAAACATTCTGAGGTCGAAAGAGTTGTGGGAGGTGATCAAACCTGCAGTAGCAGAATCATTCGCTGCGATATCTAAAACTCAGAAGGCGACGTTGAAATTGAAAGATCTCAAAGCTAAGAACTATCTCTTCCAAGCAATTGACCAGACTGTTTTGGAGACTATCCTTAAAAAGGATACCTCTAAGGACATTTGAGATTCTGCCATGGAAACAAAAAGACAAAGAGGCTGCAGCTTCAGAACTTTCAATCGGAGTTCGAAACACTTCGAATGAAAGAAGGCGAGAATTTCACAGATTTTTATTCAAGGACTATGGCAATAGTCAACGAGTTGCGAATCCATGGTGACAAGACTGAAGATAGTGTTGTCGTCGAGAAGATACTTCGCTCTACGACAACAAAATATAATTTTGTTGTCTGTGCAATAGAAGATGCAAATGACATGGATGAGATGACACTAGATGAACTTGAAAGTTCTATTCTAGTTCATGAAAGAAAGTTGTGTTCGCATGATAGTGAGGGTGAGCAAGCATTGAAAGTTTCAACTCAAAACCAACCTTCATCATTTAATGGTGCTAATCGAGGAAGAGGCCGTGGGAGAGGAAGAGGAGGCCATGCCTGTGGCAATCAACATCAGAATAATATGTCTCATGGAACGGGAGGGGCAAGTCAGCAGATAAGTCCAACATTGAATGTTATCATTGTCACAAGTATGACCATTATCAAAATGAATGCCGTACGAATTTGAATAGATAGAATGGAGAAGCAACGAATTTTGTCGAAAAGAAGGAAGAAGTTTCTGAAGAGATTTCTCTTCTGATGGCATGCCATGTAGATGAAGCAGCCCATCAAAACTTATGGTACTTAGATTCTGGTTGTAGCAATCATATGTGTGTAGATGAGAATGTGTTCTCTGAATTAAACACTTCTTATCGAGACACTGTTAAGCTCGGCAATAATTCTATAGTACATGTGATGAGAAAAGGAAAGGTTGCAATCCAAACCAAGGAGAACTCTACATTCACCATTTCAAACGTTCTCTTTGTTCCAGAGTTGAAGACCAATTTGCTCAGTGTGGGTCAACTATAAGAAAAGGGGTATGGGATCACTATAAAAAATGGAGAATGTAGGATTCAAGATGCAAACCTTGGATTGATTGCCCAAGTTAAAATGACGGAAAATCGCATGTTTCCACTCTATCTTCACCATACAACCCATGAATGTTTTTCTGTACAATTAAGTGAGGTTGCATGGCTGTGGCACTTCCGCTATGGGAATTTGAACTTTGGAGGTTTGAAGACTCTACAACAAAAGAGTATGGTGACTGGTATTCCTCAATTCTTTGTTCCTTCTCAAGTTTGTGAAGAATGTGTTGTTGGCAAACAACACCGCAATATTTTTCCTCAAAAGGCATCATGGAGAGCAAAGAAGCCATTAGAACTAGTGCATTCTGATATTTGCGGTCCAATTAATCCCACTTCTAATGGAGGTAATATATATTTGATTACGTTCATTGATGATTTTAGTCGAAAGATACGGGTTTATTTTTTAAAAGAAAAATCAGATGTGTTTGCTGCATTTAAGAATTTTAAAGTCTTCGTTGAGAAGGAGAAGGAAACTCCGATCGAAGTTTTGCGAACAGATCGTGGTGGTGAATGTGTCACATGAGTTTATGAAATACTGTGAGCATAATGGAATTAAGAGACAATTAACAACAACTTACTCACCACAACAA